GTAAAGTCTTACTTTATAAAACATCATTATTTTTAAAAAAATCATAATTCCATTAATAATAACTCAATGGCTTTGAGTTTTTAGTATTTTTCACATTGAACTTTTAGGAAAAAGTCCTCAAAATTTCAACTTTCCACTCACTTTAATTTTTGAGTGAAAAAGTTGTGTGTAAATTCTTACTTTATAAAACATCATTATTTTTAAAAAATCATAATTCCATTAATAATAACTCAATGGCTTTGAGTTTTTAGTATTTTTCACATTGAACTTTTAGGAAAAAGTCCTCAAAATTTCAACTTTCCACTCACTTTAGTTTTTGAATGAAAAAATAATGTATAAAGTTTTACTGTACAAAACATCATTATTTAAAAAAATCATAACTCCATTTATCATAACTCGATTGCTTTGAGTTTATTGAATTTTTCACATTAAGCCTTTAGGAAAAAGTCCTCAAAATTTCAACTTTCCACTCACTTTAGTTTTTGAGTGAAAAAGTTGTGTGTAAAGTCTTACTTTATAAAACATCATTATTTTAAAAAAATCACAACTCCATCAATAATAGCTCAATCGGTTTGAGTTTCTAGTATTTTTTACATTGAACTATTAGGAAAAAGTCCTCAAAATTTCAACTTTCCACTCACTTTAGTTTTTGAGTGAAAAAGTTGTGTGTAAAGTCTTACTTTATAAAACATCATTATTTTTAAAAAATCATAATTCCATTAATAATAACTCAATGGCTTTGAGTTTTTAGTATTTTTCACATTGAACTTTTAGGAAAAAGTCCTCAAAATTTCAACTTTCCACTCACTTTAATTTTTGAGTGAAAAAGTTGTGTGTAAAGTCTTACTTTATAAAACATCATTATTTTTAAAAAATCATAATTCCATTAATAATAACTCAATGGCTTTGAGTTTTTAGTATTTTTCACATTGAACTTTTAGGAAAAAGTCCTCAAAATTTCAACTTTTCACTCACTTTAATTTTTGAGTGAAAAAGTTGTGTGTAAAGTCTTACTTTATAAAACATCATTATTTTTAAAAAATCATAATTCCATTAATAATAACTCAATGGCTTTGAGTTTTTAGTATTTTTCTCATTGAACTTTTAGGAAAAAGTCCTCAAAATTTCAACTTTCCACTCACTTTAATTTTTGAGTGAAAAAGTTGTGTGTAAAGTCTTACTTTATAAAACATCATTATTTTTAAAAAATCATAATTCCATTAATAATAACTCAATGGCTTTGAGTTTTTAGTATTTTTCACATTGAACTTTTAGGAAAAAGTCCTCAAAATTTCAACTTTTCACTCACTTTAATTTTTGAGTGAAAAAGTTGTGTGTAAAGTCTTACTTTATAAAACATCATTATTTTTAAAAAATCATAATTCCATTAATAATAACTCAATGGCTTTGAGTTTTTAGTATTTTTCACATTGAACTTTTAGGAAAAAGTCCTCAAAATTTCAACTTTCCACTCACTTTAATTTTTGAGTGAAAAAGTTGTGTGTAAAGTCTTACTTTATAAAACATCATTATTTTTAAAAAATCATAATTCCATTAATAATAACTCAATGGCTTTGAGTTTTTAGTATTTTTCACATTGAACTTTTAGGAAAAAGTCCTCAAAATTTCAACTTTTCACTCACTTTAATTTTTGAGTGAAAAAGTTGTGTGTAAAGTCTTACTTTATAAAACATCATTATTTTTAAAAAATCATAATTCCATTAATAAGAACTCAATGGCTTTGAGTTTTTAGTATTTTTCACATTGAACTTTTAGGAAAAAGTCCTTAAAATTTCAACTTTCCATTCACTTTAGTTATTGAGTGAAAAAATTGTTTGTAAAGTCCGAGGGGTGGTTAATTGGTTAACTCCTTAAAATATGTACACATACTTTAAATCTTAATTGATTTTGTCAGATTTTGGAAATTTTGAAAATCTTTACACGATTTTACAGGAGTTCAAGAGATTTTAGATTTTCAAAATTCTAGGTGGATTCTGGAGCATTTTATGAGTTTTTGAAAAGTTTTAAAAAATTCAAATGACAAATTTGAATGGAAAAACGGAAATTTCTAGAAATTTAACTATAGGATTTCATAATATTTTTCCGAATTTCATCATAAGATTCTATAGAATTCTACCATAAAATTTAATGGAATTTTTGCACAAAAATTCCTCGGAATTACACTATGAGATTTCATGAAATTCTTCGAAATTCTATTAAAATTTCAAGTTATTCTATGGGAATTCCGTGAAAATTTTAGTTAATTTCATAGAAATTTCTTAAAATTTCATCAGAAGATTTTAGGGAATTCCTCGAAATGGTAAATTTCAATGGGAAAATGGAAATTCCTAAAAATTTTACTATAAGATTTTATAATATTTTTCCAAATTTCATCATAAGATTTCATGGAATTCCACAATAAAATTCAATAAAAATTCCTCGGAATTACACTATGAAATTTCATGAAATTCTTCGGAACTCCATTAAAATTTTAAGTTATTCCATAGGAATTCTGCGAAAATTTTAAGTATGTAATTCTATAGAAATTGCTTAACATTTCATCAAAAGATTTTATGGATTTATTGGACCAATTTTTTTCGGAACACAGTATAGGATTTCATGGAATTCCACTAAAATTTCAATTTAAAAATTCCATCATTTTTTTTTTAACTTTTCTGTAGTGTAGTTCCCAAAAATTTTACCACTGAATTATTCTGGAATTCCACAAAAATTTCTTAAAATTCTTCGGAATTTCATTGACATTTCATGTAATTCCTCGGAATTCACTAAAATTTTATGAGAATATTTTGAAATTTCATGTTCACAGCTGAAGATTTTTCAGAAGTCGAATGAAACTTCAAGGAATTTTTCAAAATTTCATTTATTTTCATAAGAAATTTCACTGAAATTCTCTCAGGGATTTCTGGGAATATTAATGAAACTTTAAGTAATTTCTTGAAAATTCACCGAAATATATTGAAATTTCATGTCATTATATGGGACTTTCTGGGAATATCACTGAAATTCTATGTTTTTAGCTGGAAATTCCTCAGCATTCCACTTGAAATTTTATGTTGGGAATTTTGGTGTAAGTTCATATAATTGTTTAGAATTTCTCTATGTAATTCATTTAGGATTTCGTGTAATTTGATCGAAATTTCACTGAAATTTCATGTAGTTCGAGAGCAATTAAAATTTAATATGAACTCTATAGAAACTCCATAAGAATTTCACATGTAATTCCTTTTCCAGAATAACATAACTCTACAGAAATTCCTCGAAATTCCACCAAATTATGGAATTCTGAAAGATTTTTGGAGATTCCAAAGATTTTTTGGGAATTTCAAAGAAAATATTTTTTAGGAATGTTAATGATTTTATGAGATTTTGTAGAATTTTTTTGGTTTTTATGCAATTTTGTTAGATTTTGTAGAATTTTATGCAATTTCAAAAGATTTTGTGGGGTTTTATTAAATTTTTAAGGATTTCAAAGATTTTTAGGGATTTTGAGTAGATTTTATAAGATTTTTTTATGATTTTGACCAGTTAACCACCCCTCGGTAAAGTCTTACTTTACAAAACATCATTATTTTTAAAAAAATTATAACTCCATTAATAGTAACTCAATCGCTTTGAGTTTTTAGTTGAAGCTTTAGGAAAAAGTCCTCAAAATTTCAACTTTGCACTCACTTTAGTTTTTGAGCGACAGAAAATTCCCCTTTACCTTATTTATTGGGAAAATTCAAAAAAACAAAAAGCACATTATTCTACTTTAAAAGATTTTATTTATATAATAAGGGGAAACTGTTACCTTTTTTTTTTAATATAAATACATAACAATAATTCCAATTCATTAGCACGATGATGGAAAACGCTAATTAAAAAAAAATATAATTAATTAATAACATAATAAAAATCTACATAAATGCCTCATTGATTCCTTGGTTAAAAAAAAAAAAAAAATACACAATATAAAGCTTATTACATATAAAAGCAAATATGGATGCTTTTCTTTACTTTTACATATATCAAGGCACTTTTTTTTTTTTAAATTGAATAAAGTTATGTCCTATTCACAATCTTATGTTCAAAGGTACAGGTGAATTTATCACGTTTCCCTATTGAAAAGTATTCAAAGGTGATAAATTTTAACTGTACCTTAGGACTACACATTGTGACAATAGGTATGTAATAACGCTTTTTTTAGCACCCATTTTTTCAAAAATTTTAAATTATTATTGATAAAATACATTTAAATTAAAAAGCTACAAGTATAACAATAAATACAATACTATGTTCAGGTATAATCGTTATATAAATTAATTATTTGGACTGGGTTTAAAAAACACCTTTAAAAAAATTGAAAGATTTGGTCTTATTGCAACTTAATAATCTACTGACCCAGCAGCACAAATAATTTCAACGTAAAATTCAAAAATAAAATAATAAATAATTATATTATATGCCCAGCCCAAAATAGCATATTATGATGTTATTTACAAGTTTAATATACAATTACATATAAAACAGAAAAACTATATATAGGGTACGTTTATTTATTATTATATTTTCTGCGCCACAGTATATTGGTTCTATCACAATTTTAATTCAAACAATAATTAAACATTCCTATGATTTTTGGACGTTTTTTTTTTTCAATTCAAATATAAACGTACTATATAAAAAGGCTTGTAAGTACAATACAATAATTACTTATACCGCAATTAATTCTTATACCTAAATGATATATTATAAATGCGATACTAAGAAAATATTATTATACAATATCTAAAATAAACCCTCACACAGTGGTTTTCGTGTACAAAAAAAAAAAAAAAAACGATTAATATTGCACCAATATAGTAATTCAGGCGGACAAAAAAACAAAATGGTTTTTGCTTAGGTTAAGCAAACAGTACAAAAATATCGTTTTTAGGCCATTATTTTGTTTGTTGGCCAAATTTCATAATAATTCCTCACTTGATTAGTTTAGTAGCTCCCTAATTTGGTTCTTCGCTGATTGATTCACAAAATATTTCCTGGAAATGATAAAAATATGGATTAATTACATAGTAAATTAGATAATGGAAAAAACTCAAAGTTTTTGGGATTTTTTGGCATTATGAGTGCAGTTTAAGTAGAATCAGTACAGGGTTTAAACTATGCTGTTGTGTTTTACAGGGTGTTTGAAAATAAATGCAACAAAACTTGTTTTGGCTTTTGGGCTCTTTTGTTGGAGTTACAGTCAGAGTTGTCAATATTCAAAGTAAATATACTTGAAATAGAATTTCAAGTATATACAAGGTGTCCCATTAGGAACTAAATTGATCTATACCGGGTATCCGCTTATCGGAAGGTATTTTCTCATAGGATGATGCGAGAAAAAAAAAAAATTAAATTACAAAGTTGTTTGATACTCTAATATGCATTAGTTAAAACTGTTTTTGAATCTACAGGATGTTCCGTTTATGGGGTATGCGACAGAACTTTGTTATTTTAAATGAAATACTCTGCATGTGATTGTATATTTGGATTCTATATAAAATTCTGAGCAGATTTCATGAAATATACTCATACCTAACTTCAATTGTTTTGGAAAAATTGACAGTTGAAAATTGACTTTTTGCAATTTCGAGAGGCTGTAAAACCTAAACGCTTAATTACACAGGAAAACTAATTTTATATTCCTAGCAGATTTTTATAAACTATATATATATATATATAACACTAACTTTCGATTTAACTGGAGATTAAGTTTGATTGAAATTTTTAATCATGGATGAAATTCAGAGTTGGTGTCAAATGATAGTTTATAAAAATTCAAACCAGGCATGTAATGAAATGCGCTTGTTTTCTTTTTTAAGAAACGGGAAATTTTTCGAACTATAGATAACCCGTAGTTACGACACCAAAACACTAAATGTGAATTATTCAATTTACAGAACGGGGCCAGGTAATATACCAGGGCTGCGTTCAAAAACGGCTAAAGCCGCGCCAAAATTGGCATATTGCGTTCAAGTTCGGCTCAAGCGTGCCAAAAACGGTTGGCTTTACACGTTCCAAATTGGCCGCGGTAAAGTAACTTTTGGAGGCTCTTTCAACTGAGTCTAGAAATGGTTATACGGATTTTAATTGGATGAGACCAAATTCAATATGGCATGGCGGCCAGGTAAGTTAGTTTTGAATATGGATTTTCATGCATATTTCAATTATTTTGTTTGTTTGCAGCTTCGATTTTGATTATTTAATAAAATATTTGTTCTAACTCCAAGTACGTAAACTATTAAGTCGGGCAGAAACTAGATATTTTTTGTGTTTTTTGGTCCATGTATGGTCGCCACGCTATATTGAATGTCACGTGGTTTGGATTGCCTATTGAGAAACGGTATTTGGCGTTCCAGCAAATCCACATCAGATTTGGCATCGCCGGTAAAAGGAGAATAGTAGGTTTTGGCATTAGCATTGCCGTCTTTGAACGCACTCCGGGAATCAAATTGTTAGAAAAAAGGGTAATAGATGCCGGTCACAAATTCCCCTAGCGGCAGTTTTCAAAAGAATTTGCATAACAAACAGTTGGCATTTTGACAGAAGCCGAATATAGTCTTAAGGCTGTGGTAGACGTTCCGTCATATTCAGCAGATTACACACTTATATATTGGAAAAAGTCATAAATATATCGTTAGAGTAAATACTTTAGAAAGTAGATGCATTATTTTAACATTAAGTAAATAATAGTGGAAGATTTTCAACTACATAACTCAGGACAGCCTTTAACACAAAAACAGAAAACCGTATTGAAAAAAAAAAAACACTAAAAAGTTGAAGGGTCTAGTGCACAAATAAAAGGACTTTGTCAAAAATTGTAAATAAATACCATAACTAAAACCATTTCCATAATGTTTACATGTAACATAAAGCATCTTTGGTTGAAAACATATTAAGAAGTCAAAGTTTTACCAAAAATTGATAGAAAATCAAATAAAGAACACCATAGAATAAGAAGAACACTAACACACATCATACGACTGACTAATGGCAAATACAATGACAAATTATTACATTTCTTCACAGTTGACATTTGCTTGTGGCTTTGCTATACTAGCGCCGCATAGCTTTGGCAGTCATGAAACTCTCATACGTGTAATTTTTTAGACAGCTCCGAACGAACATTTTACATGGAAGTTTCCTATCTTTAGGACGAGTTAATCTGTGATTTCTGTTTTCAGTGTTGTTTTTGATGTAGGTCCTTATTTTTGAAAGAGGGGAGTAGCGTTCCCAGGAAAACGAGTGTTCCATCTTTTTCAATGACATGCAAATGGCAATATAAGGAACAAAGACAAAACACTTGTTCTCCTGGAAACGCTGCTCTCCTGTTTCAAGAATAAGGACCCACAGTTTTGTCGCTGCAATTCGCTTATGGCCGATTTATTTCTTGCCGCCTGGTCACACACTGTGACAACAACTCCTAAATTGGCTACTTGTGATGCACTCATCACTTCTTTCACAGTCTAATTCAAAACAACAAACTTAACACATAACGACGATACACTCAACAAATTAATTCAGATGACAAGATGACATTTTGATGCCTAAAATGGACGTTGAAAATTGGCGATACAAACGTACAGTGGCGTAGTCACGAACTAAAACAAAAAATAGAGAAGATAAATCTAGTAAAACTAGAACTGAGTTTAAGGTGAGTTCTATTAATTTCTAGATCAACTTATGCAGAGATAAATAGGTTAACAAAAAAATAAATAGGTAAACAAACTCTTACCTTATTGAAGATGATAAAGGGAAAGAGATTACACGCAAGGAAGTACAAGACTGAAATCGTTGCTCTATCATAACTAATTTAGGTTAAAAATGTTTGCGTCTCAGTTTTTAACTGTGTTACTGTATCGTTAATTATTGATTTATATATAACTGATTGTTAATTTTAAGTTTATTCCTTGTTGTTGTTTAAGTATTTTAGAATAGATATTGGAAGTACAAGTACAAGTATGTACAGTTGCGATAAAAAAAAAGTAGTACAAGAAAAATCTTTAAAAATCTCCTAGTCTATTATACATTAATTAAATTCATAACCAAAAATGACCTATTTTTGACATTTTTCGTCAAGGTTTTAACCTACAAAGCTTCAGATGACATCACTTTGGCATTTTTCCACCCGTTTCTAACCTAGAATATGTCATTGCCTGAACTTTAGTTATTTACATTCCAAGCTGCGAAAATATACCAAAATAAATTTTTTTCACGAAAACTGTTAGAGATAAACCTATCAAACCTTGTATCATTAAAATCAGCGAAAGCATAGCTTTCTAATGAACTATTAATATATAGAGTGTCCTATTGAAAAAAATCGGATTTTGGTCAATATCTCGAAATCGAAACCAGACAGAAAAAAACTGAGAATGTCACTGAATTCTGCTTGAAAAAGTGCTTTCAAAAGGTCTTTACGGAAATGAATTATTTTCATAAACAAGAAAGTTATGGAGGCTTTACAGTATTGCTCAAAATCGAGAATCGCCCTCTAGCGGCTAAACGGTTGAAGATATCAAAATGCGGTTTGCACCAATCAAGATTTCATGAAATTTGAGCCTCTGAGTGGGGGGTCTATTTTTTTCTATCTCTAAAAATAAAGGGTGTTTCCATAAGAAAGTGTCCAATTTGGCCCACCCTGTACATACATAACAAAAAAAGTAATTCAAGTAAAATTTAAAGTACTTAAATGTACTTGAATAAGTAAGTCACTTCAAATATTGACAGGTCGGAGTGTTATACCGGGTGGGGCACGAAAAACTTTCCACTCAGGTTTTCTCAAGTATTAGGTGTTCAATCAAAAATCGCTTAGACACGTCAATTTTGGTTTTTTAGGGGACAATTTTATTGGTATTTTCACCCCCTATCTGTGAAAGCCTAAGTGGGGGTGACAGGTACCCCCAAAATTTCAAATGGAAAGAAGGGGAGTGATACGTCATTTGATAGTTATTTTCATTAAGATTATATTCCTGAAGTGTCAAGTTGCTACTATTTACCCTGTCGAAATGGCGGCTTGTCAAAGTTAAGAAAAATCAATAGAAAAATGCTGTGTGGTTTTTACCTGTTACCTACGCATAGGCGGGACAGGTAAAAACTATACAGCTTAGATTATCGAAAAAAAAACATTTATCCTAACTTTGACATGCCGCCATTTCGGAAGGGTTAATAGTAGCAACTTAAAACTTCGGGGATATAATCTCAATGAAAATAGCTACCAAATGACATATCACTCCCCTTCTTTCCATTTGAAATTTTGGGGTACCTGTCACCCCCACTTAGGCTTTCACAGGTAGGGGGTGAAAATACCAATAAAATGTGTCCCCCAAAAAACAAAAATTGACGTGTCTGAGCGATTTTTGATTAAACACCTAACACCTGAGTGGAAAGTTTTTCATGTCCCACCCTGTATAATAACTGATTCTAATCAGGGCTTCAAAAAGGCTATAACTGTTAGACAGCAATACAATTTGTCTTGGACAACTGTAAAAATATCTATGATAATGATAAATGCACCATAGCACTTTTCCTAGATTTACAGAGGGCATTTAAGATTATAGATCGAGAGAAGTTGCTACAGAAACTGAGAAAGAATAGGTGTTACAGGAAAGGTTTAGGAGTTATTTGTATGACAGAATACAAAGAATAGAGTAAATAGAAAAGTATCTGAATGTTTGAAATTGCGGCTTTTGTTGTTTGTATTATAGATAGATAGATAGATAGATAGATGTTTATTTCCAAGGATCACATACAGGATATAGGAAAATATTTACAGATAAAATTTGCATTACATACTAATCAATAACGTAACATTATAAATAATTAAATACCTATTTATAACAATAAGCATAAGAATAATCAAATAATATACCTATTACAATTTTTATGAAGTATTCTTTCATATCTTCCACTGCGTAAAGTTTAGAAACTCCTCCACTGTATAGAATGCATTTTCCAATAAAATATTTTTAATAAAACATAAGAACTCATTCTGATTTAA